CGGTACCAGATGGTCAGGCTGCTGACTTCGTCCCACATTTTGCCTTCAGCTGGAGTTTGCAGACGAACTTTGGATCATTTCCAATAAACTGCATAAACCGGTTCCAGACCCGGTTAGTTCTGTGAAGACAGAAGCTGCTGCAGCTGTTCTGACGGATGAATGAGCAATCCTGATCCGTTCACTGTGTTCTGATGTAAAAGAGAAAATGTTCTGGTGTCACTGTCGGTTCTGAACCCGTCAGTCTGCTGATGTTTGGTCAGACAAGAGCAGCTGGACTCCTCTGAACAAACCTGTACGTGTTCTGTTAGAACCTCATCAGCTGAAGTTAAAGAAGGACAGAAGCCGGTTTGTTCTAATCACAGACTTTATTTTCATTAAAAACTTCCCCTGAGCGTCCGACACCAGCGTTCTGGTGGTTCTGTCTTTACCACAGAGCATAAATACGACTCCACGCCTCTGATCAGCTTCATCTCTTCTTCACCGAGCCGCTCTTCTTCTCCGACTTGGACTTCTTCCCGTCCTTCTTTGCTTTGGACAGATTCTCGTAGACGTCCTCCTTGTTCCTGCGGAGACAAACAGGAAGCCGCTCGGTGATTCCTGCACATCTGGGTCGGAGGTTAATGAACCGCAGCACAGAACAGAATCAACCACTCAAAGCTGCCGGACAGCAGCTCCAACTGGGTCACAGTTTACAGGCTCAGCCGTCCCAGTAGAACTTTGTCCACTTCACACATGACTGACCGGTTCACAGCTCAGAGGTCACACAAACAGCTTCCACACCAAACAAGCTGCTGAGGGTTGACCCGGTTCCTGTTATCTAGCTCACCCGAACCCGAACCCGAACTCATCTGAGAGCTGGAGGCTGCATCAGGGAGCTGCTGGGATCCCGACGGTTCTCTTTAACAGAACCTTATGAAGAGAACAATGAATTCAGCTTCAACCCTTTTTTAAAGCTTATTTCAAAAATCAACCAGATGAACCCATTTACAGCCAGAACACTGTAAACAGAACCGTCGGACTGTTGGCTTTGAAACGGTCCTTAAACACAAGATAGCCCAATCTGAACTTAAAATCAATATTTTATCACAATTACTCAATTTCACAAGTCTCTTCCCTCCTGGTTCTGACCCTGTAGAGCCAGAACCAGAACCAGACTCCTCCTGGTTCTGACCCTGTAGAACCAGAACCTTCCTCAGAGAGACTGAGAGGAAAACCCAGCCTACTGGATCAGTCAGCTTTGCTCTGTTGCTGGTTTCCGTTATTCTGAGTCCTACTGACACAAGATGTTTCTGACGGGACAGTTCACATGAACCAGATTCTTTAAAGTGGCTCAAACGGATCCACAGACGGGTCTGTTGGGAGTAAATCAGATAAACAGCACCAGATGTGTGTTCTGAGTGTTCTGAGTGTTTCCCCCCCAGAGGAACAAACCAGACGAGATCAGGGCGGGTTTGTTCCCTCAGACTGGGTCTCAGTGAAGATGTGATTTTCGGGGCTCCGTGTGAACACTCACTTTGACACCTTCCTGCTGGCCGGCTGGTGTTTGAGCTGCAGGTTTCCGTACGCAGGCTCAGCTTCCTGAAGACACAAACAGAGTTAAACTCAGAGAGGCTGCGGCTCGGTGCGGTCGCTGGTGTCAGCGTGCGGGTCAACGTTCATCTCTGATAACCGGTCTTCACATCAACACTTCAAAGTGCAAAGGCCTGCTGACACACAAACCCGTCTCTTCACATGAAGCCTGTTTTTATCTCCTCGTAACAGCCGATGTTTCTGACACACCAGACTAAAGCAGATGGACTCCTTCATTTAAACACAAAACCTCACAGAGATGTTCTCCTTAATATAAACAGACCTCTTGGTAACTGCAGACGTCGTGTGTCACAGCAGAACAACAGCCCTCCAAAGATAAACCTGCTGCTGAGCGCTGGCGCTCTGGGCGCTACGCTGACGCCTCTGATGCTAAAACTAAACCGTCACAGCTTCATGTTCCACGAAGAACCTCTGTCTGATAGAACCTGATTTAAGGTCCTAGGAGTTCATCTGACAGGCTGCAGAAAGAAATCTGTCGTATGAAATGTTCCTTTACAGAAACGATGGCGTTTAAACCGTCAGCTTGTTTTAAGCTATTTTTTATTTTCTCTGCTCGTTATCTTCGCCACCAATTGACCCCAATCATTCCAGAATAAATCACTCTTTCAACAGAGTTATTCAGATGAAAGTTCCTGCATTCTTTTCAATATTTAATCACAGAAAAACTGAACATGTGTTTTCTCTACAGCTCCAG